CTGTCATCTTCTCTTCCCAGTGATCTATGCAATATCCTATTTCCCATTGCATTTGACACTGCTCACCTCTCCTCTTCCTGCCACTCCTCCACACTACACAACAAACTTCAACTCCTGATTTCCAACAGTCCTTGGGCCAAATACTCTTTCTCTGACTGTATTACCAACCTTTCATCTTCCCCTCTTTCTAAACACCAGCAAGAACTTCTTGGCCTTGGTCTTTCTTTTGCTACTTCCCCTGGCCCGCGCTGCGGCATTGACCTCATTAGTTCCTTTAACAGGTTTGTCAATTCTAACTCTAATACTCTTTCGGACCTGTCTGCCTTTATAGGGGCCCTTATACCCGTTCTTGACAACTTGTTTTCTAAAAATAACCACCTTCCTCGTCGCTTCCAGCTTGCCCTTGCCTCCCTGAAATCTAACAACTTTATTCTTATCCTTCCTTCCGACAAAGGCAATTCGGTGGTTGTCCTTGACCGTGAGGACTACCTCCGAAAAGCGGATGTCTTGCTCTTTGACTCCCGCACATATGCCCCTCTGACTTCTAACCCTTTGGATCGGCTTAAAACTTCCTTTAATCACAAACTAAGACAGCTCTCTAGTCTTTGTCCTCCTGACTTCGATCTCAGTAAACGTTTACGTGTCATCTGCCCTTCTCTTCCTTATTTCTATGGTCTACCTAAGACTCATAAACCTGGTGTTCCTCTTCGTCCTATCGTTTCTTCACGGGGCTCTGTTGGCTATCCTCTGTCCTGCTGGCTCGTTAAAACTCTGACGCCTTACCTTGGGACTTTTTCTCCTGCCCACCTTCGTCACTCTCAGGACTTCACAGAAAGACTGCACCTGCAGCCCTCCTGTAAGATGCTTAGTCTTGATGTCGACTCTCTGTTCACTAATGTTCCCCTCGATGACGTTCTCTCTTTCCTTAGACAGAGGGTGACTCCCGCTTCCCACTGACGTTTTTCTCGAACTCATTAGAATCTGTGTTGACTCTAACTCTTTCTCTTTCAATTGTAAATATTACACTCAAACTTTCGGTGTCGCTATGGGTTCCACTCTCTCCCCTTGGAGAGAGCGGTCCTAAATCCTAAACCCAATCCTAAACTGTAGGATTGGAGTTCTGATGAAATGGAAATTCCGGGCTGAGATAAGTTCAGAGATTACATAACAGGAACTATGACAATGGGAGGACCTAAGATAATAGCAGCAGTCATTTACAACCCTCCACTAAATGACAGAAGACCCAGACAGGAGTTTGATAAGAACAACATGGCATCCAATAATATAATAGAGAGAGCAGCTTCAGTTGCCTGCAGGAATGGCTCAAGACTCTTAATCTTGGGCGATTTCAACCATGCAAAGATAGACTGGGAGAATGGGTACCCACATGGAGAGCTAAACTCTTGGAAGTGGCAGGAAGGAACTTTCTGAGCGAACATGTCAGGGAACCCACAAGAATGAGAAGCAATGACAAACCAGCTAGACTCTACCTGATATTCACCTTGAATGAGTCAGAAATGAGGTAAGTCAGATTTGAAGCCCCCATAGGAATGAGTGAATGAGTGTATTGACATTTGAGTATCTGGTAGAGATAGGGATAACCTATCCAAGGATGGGATTGGAAGGGAAAACACTAAATTACCAAAGAGGAAAATATGACGAGATGAGGAACTTCCTAATGGGAATACCATGGGAAACAGAACTCAGAGAGAAAACTGTACAGGGTATAATGGACTATGTTACCCAGAAGTGTCTGGAAGCTGCAGGCAGGGCTATCCCGGCCCAAAAGGAAAAAAACGAAAAGCAACAGAAGAATCCATGGTTCAATCAGGAATGTAAGGTAACGAAGCAATTGAGTACAAGAACATGGAGAAACTACGGGAATGACAGAACACCAGAGAGCAGGGAGAGATACCAGAGAGCAAGAAAGGAGTATATCAGAGTGAGAGAAGCAGAGAGACAGTATGAAAATGACATTGCGAGTAAAGCTAAGACCCAACCAAAACTGCTCTACAGCCACATCAAGAGGAAAGCAACAGTGAAGGAAAAAGTGATGAAACTGAGAAAAGGGGAGAACAGATACACAGAGAATGATAAGGAGTTGTGTGAAGAACTCAACAAGAGATTCCAGGAGGTCTTCACAATAGAACAAGAACCCCCCTGCACTAAATGAGGACGAGGCAAACCAAGCAACCTTGGAGGAATTTGACCTCACTAATGATGAGGTCAAAAGGAATCTGTTGGAGCTGAATGTGAAAAAGGTTGTTGGGCTTGACAGAATCTCACCGTGGGTACTAAAAGAAGTTGCAGAAACACCTTGTGTGCCATTCTCTATGATGTATAACAGGTCACTGGAAACAGTAGACCTATCGGAAAGCTGGAAGACAGCTAATGTAGTCCCAATATACAAAAAGGGTGACAGGCAAGAGGCACTGAACTGCAGGTCAGTTTCCCTAACTTGTATACTATGCAAGGTGATGGAGAAGATCGTGAGGAAAAGGCTTGTAGAGCATCTGGAGGGAAATAGCTTTGTAACACACCACCAGCATGGGTTCAGAGATGGTAAATCGTGCCTCACAGGTTTAATAGAATTCTATGACCAAGCAAAAAAAATAGGCAAGAAAGAGAAGGTGGGTAGACTGCATTTATCAGAAAGTCTTTGACACAGTACCACATAAAAGGCTGTTACAAAACTTGGAGCAACTGGCTGGAGTAAAAGGTAAGGTGCTCCAGTGGATAAGAGTGTATCTAAGCAACAGGTAACAGCGAGTAACTGTGAGGGGGAAGACATCAGAGTGGCGAGATGTCACTAGCAGAGTCACACAGGACTCTGTACTTGGACCCATCCTGTTTCTAATATATGTAAACGATCTTCCAGAGGGTATAGACTCATTCCTCTCAATGTTTGCTGATGATGCAAAAATTATGAGAAGAATCAAGACAGATGAAGATAGACAAAGACTACAGGACGACCTGGACAAACTGGTGGAATGGTCTAGAAAATGGCTACTAACGTTCAACTCATGAAAGTGTAAAGTAATGAAATTAGGCGAAGGGAGCAGAAGGCTGAACACAAGGTACCATCTGGGAGGTGAAATCCTGCAAGAGTTAAATAGAGAGAAAGATCTGGGGGTTGCTATCACACAGATCCTGTCCTCAGAGGCCCACATCAAAAGGATATCATCAGCGGCATATGCTAGATTGGCCAACACAAGAACTGACTTTAGAAACTTGTCTAAGGAATCGTTCAGGACCCTGCATAGAACTTTTGTCAGACCAATCCTGGAATATGCAGCTCCAGCCTGGAGTCCATACCTAGTTAAACACAAGACGAAGTTAGAGAAGATTCAGAGGTATTCCTGGTTGAAGACCTGGCCGCGGGGACGCTAAGCCCCGAAACCATCTCAAAGTAACCTCAAGGTATGCCACCCGACTCGTCCCGGAACTGAGAGGTATGAGCTACGAGGAAAGGCTAAGGGAGTTGTACCTCACGTCCCTGGAAAACAGAAGAGTAAGGGGAGACACGATAACCACCTACAAACCTCTCAGGGAAATTGACAGGGTGAACAAAGACAAACTCTTCAGCACGGGTAGAACATGAACAAGGGGACACAGGTGGAAAATTAGGACCCAAATGAGCCACAGAGACGTTAGAAAGAATGTTTTCAGTGTCAGAGAAGTTAATAATTGGAATGCATTAAGCAGTGATGTGGTGGAGGCAGACTTCATACACATTTTCAAATGTAGATTTGATAAGAGCCCAGTAGGCTCAGGAATCTGTACATCAGTTGATTGACGGTTGAGAGACAGGACCAAAGAGCCAAAGATCAACCCCCGTAATTACAACTAGGTGAGAACAATCGCCCACCACATCCCCGCCCATACAAAATCCATCACCTCCCTACCCACACACAATCCACCCAGTACTATCTCCCTGCCTTGGTTACCTTAATTACTGTGGCTTGAAGGATACGTATCTCCACGCCCCACTCACTGATAACGGCCCAATATATCCCCCACACAGTCACCCCCCTCCCCATACCCCACATCCCCCCCTCCCATCCACTAGTACACAGCACAATCATGGTGCAACAACAACAGCAGCGTTGCCAAACCACAGATCTATAGCTCTCGTCAACTCAGGAACACAATTTATCAAAAATTAACTTAATGCAAATAAATGTCTTAACCATTATTAACTCTTAAAAATTTAGTAATTTACAAACTGTTACATTGACCTATACACTGGGAGGACATCAAGATGTGGCACCTGCGAGGCCCTCCACATATAACACAGGGGACGATGCTTCTCTCAGTCTCCAGGATTACGACGGAGTGAGCGGTCAGAGAGCGGTCCTCGTCCTTGCTAGCGTGAGTATGATCAGGAGGCTACTGGAGTCATTATTATGTACACCATACTCTTCCTGTGAGTAATAGTGGTCACCATACTCTTCCTGTGAGTAATAGTGGTCACCATACTCTTCCTGTGAGTAATAGTGGTCACCATACTCTTCCTGTGAGCAATAGTGGTCACCATACTCTTCCTGTGAGTAATAGTGCTCACCACACTCTTCCTGTGAGTAATAGTGGTCACCATACTCTTCCTGTGAGTAATAGTGGTCACCATACTCTTCCTGTGAGTAATAGTGGTCACCATACTCTTCCTGTGAGTAATAGTGGTCACCATACTCTTCCTGTGAGTAATAGTGGTCACCATACTCTTCCTGTGAGTAATAGTGGTCACCATACTCTTCCTGTGAGTAATAGTGGTCACCATACTCTTCCTGTGAGTAATAGTGGTCACCATACTCTTCCTGTGAGTAATAGTGGTCACCATACTCTTCCTGTGAGTAATAGTGGTCACCATACTCTTCCTGTGAGTAATAGTGGTCACCATACTCTTCCTGTGAGTAATAGTGGTCACCATACTCTTCCTGTGAGTAATAGTGGTCACCATACTCTTCCTGTGAGTAATAGTACTCACCATACTCTTCATGTGAGTAATAGTAGTCACCATACTCTTCCTGTGAGTAATAGTAGTCACCATACTCTTCCTGTGAGTAATAGTGGTCACCATACTCTTCATGTGAGTAATAGTAGTCACCATACTCTTTACTGTGAGTAATAGTGGTCACCATACTCTTCCTGTGAGTAATAGTAGTCACCATACTCTTCCTGTGAGTAATAGTAGTCACCATACTCTTCCTGTGAGTAATAGTGCTCACCATACTCTTCCTGTGAGTAATAGTAGTCACCATACTCTTTACTGTGAGTAATAGTGGTCACCATACTCTTCCTGTGAGTAATAGTGCTCACCATACTCTTCCTGTGAGTAATAGTGGTCACCATACTCTTCATGTGAGTAATAGTGGTGACTATACTCTTCCTGTGAGTAATAGTGCTCACCATACTCTTCCTGTGAGTAATAGTAGTCACCATACTCTTTACTGTGAGTAATAGTGGTCACCATACTCTTCCTGTGAGTAATAGTGCTCACCACACTCTTCCTGTGAGTAATAGTGGTCACCATACTCTTCATGTGAGTAATAGTGGTGACTATACTCTTCCTGTGAGTAATAGTGCTCACCATACTCTTCCTGTGAGTAATAGTGGCCACCATACTCTTCCTGTGAGTAATAGTGGTCACCATACTCTTCCTGTGAGTAATAGTAGTCACCATACCCATCCTGTGAGCAATAGTGGTCACCATACTCTTCGTGTGAGTAATAGTGGTCACCATACCCATTCTGTGAGTAATAGTGGTCACCATACTCTTCCTGTGAGTAATAGTGGTCACCATATTCTTCTTGTGAGTAATAGTGGTCACCATACTCATCCTGTGAGTAATAGTGGTCACCATACTCATCCTGTGAGTAATAGTGGTCACCATACTCTTCCTGTGAGTAATAGTAGTCACAATACCCATCCTGTGAGTAATAGTGGTCACCATAACCATCCTGTGAGTAATAGTGGTCACCATACTCATTCCGTGAGTAATAGTGGTCACCATATCCATCCTGTGAATAATAGTGAACACCTTACCGATCCTGAGGATAATAGTGATCAATATTCCCATCCTGTCTGTGAGTAAAAGTGGTCACCATACCCATCCTAAGGGTAATAGTGATCAACATACCCATCCTGAGGGTAATAGTGATCAACATACTCATCCTGTGAGTAATAGTGGTCACCATACTCTTCCTGTGTGTAAATGTGGTCACCATACTCTTCCTGCGAGTAATAGTGGTCACCATACTCTTCTTGTGAGTAATAGTACTCACCATACTCATCCCGTGCATAATAGTGGTCACCATACCCATCCTGAGGGTAATAGTGATCAACATACCCATCCTGAGGGTAATAGTGATCAACATACTCATCCTGTGAGTAATAGTGGTCACCATACTCTTCCTGTGTGTAAATGTGGTCACCATACTCTTCCTGCGAGTAATAGTGGTCACCATACTCTTCTTGTGAGTAATAGTGGTCACCATATTCATCCTGTGAGTAATAGTAGTCATCATACCCATCTTGTGAATAATTGTGGTCACTTAACTCATCCTGTGAGTAATAGTGGTCACAATACTCATCCTGTAATAGTGGTCACCATACCCATCTTGTGAGTAATAGTAGTCACCATACCCATTTCCTGTGAGTAATAGTGGTCACCATACCCATCCTAAGGGTAATAGTGATCAACATATCCATCCTGAGGGTAATAGTGATCAACATACCCATCCTGTGAGTAATAGTGGTCACCATGCTCTTCCTTTGAGTAATAGTGGTCACCATATTCTTGCTGGGAGTAATAGTCGTCTCCATACACATTCTGTGAATAATAGTGGTCACCATACTCATCCTGTGAGTAATAGTTGTCATTATACCCATCTTGTGAGTAATAGTGGTCATAATACTCATCCTGTGAGTAATAGTGGTCATCATACCCATCTTGTGTGTAATAATAGTCACCATACCTATTTCCTGAGAGTAATAGTGAACACTGTACCCATCCTGAGGGTAAAAGTGATCAACATACCCATCCTGTGAGTAATAGTGATCACAATACTCATCCTGTGAGTAATAGTGATCACCATATCCATCCTGAGGGTAACAGTGATCAACATACCAATCCTATGAGTAATACTGGTCACCATACTCTTCCTGTGAGTAATAGTGATCACCATACTCATCCTGTGAGTAATATTGGTCACCATACTCTTCTTGTGAGTAATAGTAGTCACCATACCCATTTCCTGTGAGAAATAGTGAACACCTTACCCATCCTGAGGGTAATAGTGATCAACATACTCATTCTGTGAGTAATAGTGGTCACCATACTCTTCTTGTTAGTAATAGTGGTCACCATACTCTTCATGTGAGTAATAGTGGTCACAATACTCTTCTTGTGAGTAATAGTGGTCACCATACACTTCCTGTGAGTAATAGTGGTCACCATACTCTTCCTGTGAATAATAGTGGTCAACATACTCTTCCTGTGAGTAATAGTGGTCACCATACTCTTCTTGTGAGTAATAGTAGTCACCATACTCATCCTGTGAGTAATAGTTGTCATCATACTCTTCCTGTGAGTAATAGTGGTCACCATACCCATCCTGTGAGTAATAGTGGTCACCATACTGTTCCTGTGAGTAATAGTAGTCACCATACTGTTCCTGTGAGTAACAGTAGTCACCATACCCAACCTGTGAGTAATAGTGGTCTATTTGTTGCCTTGCGAGGTTGAATGTAGACACAGTAGGCACTTCTGTATATTTATTGACTGAGACAACAAGGTGTATATCTGGCCAGCCGAGGTCCACCTACTCTGAGTCTGTCGGGAGAACTGAGGCTGCTGGGAGCATGGCTGGTGTCTGTCTGTCTGGCATGACGTCAGAGGCCTACTCGCCTGTGATTGGTTATGTCTCAACGGACATTCAAATTGAGTATAACACCGCTCGGACACGCTACCAAGTCGACGTCCCTTGTCGACAAGCTGTGGCTAGCTATATAGTTACAATGATACTGAAAGGACCTCGGTGGCATTCAATAATGGCTTACATGTGAAATTTGCATAATAAACATTGAAAGAAGATCAGGTGTACGTAATACTTACACCTCGGCATATGCACCAAAAAAAAATTTATCATAATAGGTGAAAATCATCGTAACAATACTTTAATTAAACCAGAGTATTAAGAACATGTGTATGTGTTACGGACCCGGATTCAGCGTCCGAGCCTGGAGCAGTGACAAACACGCCATCTGTGGGTCAGCTCCCGAAACCCCCGCCAAACGAACGACGACACCTAGTGAGGACAGCGTGTACTGGCCTCGAGGACCAGTTTCCAGTCTGGTTCAGCGCTCAACACCGCCGCTCCTGACCTCTGGTGAGGTGGTGCTCCGACGACAGCGCCATCTATGGAGTGGATACGTCAGGTATTAGTATCTGAGCCTGTGAGTGTGGTGTATTAGTGTCCCAGTTATTGATGACGTGTCTGCTTACAGAGCCGACCTGGGACCACTGTGTTGAAGGTGGAGTCAGTCTACCCGAGGCAGCCAGTCTCCATACAGTGAAGTTTGCTGCAGCTGTCGTGACGTCGTCCCCCCCGGAAGAACACTGTGGTGTGTTAAGCCTGCCAGTGGAGTGGCAGTGGAAGGATTTACCCGGGACCGACGGTTGGAGACGATAATCCACTGGGGTATCGAGGACAGGAGGGTGATTGGTGATATCACACGAGACTCCTGTCTAGGGCGTACCCCTTTTATCGCTCGTGGAGTGGCCGTACCAGCCTTGGTGGCTCAGTACCTGCCAGCAGACCTGCTGGACGTGTGGTTGACGGCCTCCACGACGGTGCCCCCAGTGGACCTGTGTTGTGGCTGACCTGTGGCCAGGGTAGACTCGGCGTTCTCAGAGGACACGTCTTGAGGCCACGAAGAAAGCACCGCGGACTCAGCACCTAGCTTCGAGGATCCATAGTCTCCAGCAGAAGACTACAGTGTTGATTCCCTTGTAAAGTGTTAATACCCCTCCCCCTTGTGTACTCTTTTATTATATATATTTAAACGGTGAAGGTGAATATTATATTATATTAAGTTCTTACCTTTCTTTCCCTACTCCCTTTAAGTTACTTGCGTCACGGATCGCATCCCTTGATAGCCTCTACTGGCTTGGGGCCGGATATATATCTTCCTCTAACTACATCAGAGTAAGAACCCCGTTGCGTCCCGAGAGGGCCGTAACAGTATGTCTACTTGTCAGATATGAACAATACAACTCAAGGTATTGCTTAAACAAAATTATTAACATGTGTCAATGGCATGTGCTTGAAAACCATACAAAATTAAACAATTATTACATTAATGAAACAAAGTTCTGACCTAACAACCACAAATGAATTTTAAGATTAGATAATGATTTTTTTTTCA